GAAGAGTATTCCGGAGTATTCTCAGTAATCTTAAATCTTAGGATGTTTATGGCTGCGGACATTTGGGCAGGAGGAGTTTATTACTCACCTACGCCACCCCAAAAACCCCCCCAGCCTCGAAAATACAGTGCCTGAATTTATAGATTCAATTTTTTTTTGGAATGAGCTGTGAGACAAAAGACAAAAAAAAAAAACAATACGTGTGTATTTAGCCAAAGGGTTCCAGTTTGATCAGTTTATCTATACATTTATGTGTCTAAGCACAGAGGGTTAGTTCTTTTAGTCTAGAGTATGAAAAGGTAAGGTGTGTGACGTGCCTGTGTACGCATGAAGACGATAACCCCCCAGCCACTGTGCTTCAATCTCATTTAAGTTGAATAAAATCGAGAAACACTACGAATCATGGAGACTTCATGGAGACAGGAAGCCAGGAAAGGAGTTCTGTACATACCTGTGGTTTATATATATATATATATATATATATATATATATAAAACTTTATTTTCCCTTCATGATTAACTTTATCCCCCATTTCGAATTCTTAAACCTTTAAAAATTGGCCGTCATTAAAAATATATTTATATATATTCTGTTCCCGCTGAATAGGATGGATCTCTCTCATACGAGATTTATGTTTGGGTTGTTAAAGAGAGGCGTGGAATAATACGCGCTCATCCACAATGTGTCCCGCAGTTTTGTTTTGTTTTTTTTTAAACTTCAGTCCGTAGTTCAGCTGCAGATCTCCGAGTTGAACTCTTTCTCAAGAAAAAAAAAAACAGAATAGGATGTGAAAGCCATGTCTGCCTGTTCAAATCGCTTTATACATACATGATGATATATATATAAAAAAATATATATGTATACAAATGTAGATAATGTCATTGCATATTAAAATGCAGAACCGATCAAAATTAGATACTTTTACAGGGTGCTGGAGAAGAAATATATTTTTGGCAATTTTAAGCTTTTTATACTTCACTTGCAGTTTAAAAAAAAAAAATGTACAAAAAATCCTAGAAAAAAAGATGAAAATAAAAACCCAGGACGGAAGGTTGCGTAAACGTTTTTTGTTATTGGCGATGAAAACCCGAGAAACTTCGGAGTATTTCCAGTTCTAAAGCATTAAAGAGGGAAGTATTAGACATTTGTAAAAGGGGGAAAAGTGCCTTATTGATGGTTTTTTGTTGTTGTTGTTTTTCTCCGAGTTGTGTTCAGTAATATAATATTGTGCGACAGTGACGGCGATAACGGTGCTTAGTGCATAGAGAAGGAGAAAGTGTTGAGTTCGATCGCCGCTCAGCTGTGCACTCGATCTACTCTATGCAAAAAAGAATAGCAGTCATTCGACCAGCTGACTATGTGCCATGATTTGTCTTCCCGAGATTAGGTTAACTTTCTCTCTCTCTCTCTCTCTCTGTCTCTCTCTCTCTGTCTCTCTCTCTCTCTCTCTCTCTCTCTCTCTCTCTCTCTGTGTGTCTCTCTCTCTCTCTCTCTCTCTCTCTCTCTCTCTCTCTCTCTCTCTCTCTCTCTCTCTCTCTCTCTCTCTCTCTCTCTCTCTCTCTCTCTGTGTCTCTCTCTCTCTCTCTGTCTCTCTCTCTCTCTCTCTCTCTCTGTGTCTCTCTCTCTCTCTCTCTCTCTCTCTCTGTCTCTCTCTCCTGTTCTCTTTCCCTTTATGGCGTTCGAACAAAAAGATTTCATTAATGTCGTATGTCTGTTAGTCTGTTATTGTCGCTATTTGACGCAAACTGCCATTTAAAATTTGGATTTACAAACTGGAAGTTTGGGATTATTACTATTATTATTATTATTATTATTATTATTATTATTATTATTATTATTCCTTTCATGAGTTACTTCTTTGCCTAAATTTCCTGTGCTGCTTTTTTTTTGTTTGTTTGTTTAATAAATTGAAAAGAGCTTCTAGTTAACTTCGAGCAGAACGTAAATCATGGAGCTGCTCGGCGGTTTGAGATCTTGTTCCTCAGCCGTAAGGGAAGCTGTTACCGACTCGTATTGACGTTAACGTTTTGAGCCCAGCGCGCCGCGTTTAAACTCGGTTTCATGGCGTTCTGGGCGAAGTAAAACAGATCTATAGTCAAAGTAAATTCTCTGAGTTTCACGGCAGCCGGTTTTCATTCTGTTCTCTCAAGCTGTTACACAGGAAAGGTCCACTTCTTTCTTCATCTTCTTCAGTGTTAGAAGCTCTTTTACTTTTGTTTGTTTGTTTGTTTGAAATGAAATGCAATATCCGACTGGAGGTCTGCGCAGACAGCCCCGATTAACAAACAGTGTTAGGAGAAATGTCCTCCGCGATGTTACTACATGCTGTCGGTCATTGTTTAAAGGTCGATTTAGTCCATCAGGTTTCTAGAGAAATCTCTTGTATTCTCTCCTGCCTGCCTAATACATGTATAATAATGTAATTTACAATCATTGTTACAGGTTTCTAATGTATTTTTCTAACTTCATTTTATATGTATATTATAAATCACTCTTCTGGCTGGTTTTTTTTCCCCTTTTATTTCTTTTCTTTCTTTGTTTTGTTTTGTTTTGTTTTTTGATGCCCACTACAATTATACATTTTTATTTTTTAACTCACCTCTTTTGCTGTCTCACTCCGAGTCTCTCTTGTTGGGGGCGTGGCCTTTCCAGCAGTTATATTTCATTTCTTTGCCCATCTTTAGCTTGTTTAACTCATTAGCTAATTAGTCGACTATATTAGTTTTCCTTGTCGAGATTTTTACATGCTTGCGTTTCGTTTTCATGGTGTATGCTGTTATTTTTCTTATTAACCCCCCTTGCCATTTATTTTAATAAAATATTCTTAGTAAGAATTTTACTAACTTTGCTGATATTTTTGTTGGTCTTGTGTTTAACCTGTTGAATGAACGTACTACTTTTGACCTGGATCACGGACTAACCCCATTATAACTGGTCTCGGACCGTTTCACTCAAATGAAGGAAGCGCACTAACACACACACACTCTCACACACACACACACACACACACACACACACACACACACACACGTGTGTAACATGCTTAAAATTACACTTGTGTACTGGATCATGGACTTGAGCGCACACACACACACACACACACACACTAACTGGAGAAGTGCACGATCCGGTCCATCCTCACTCTGCTCTGCTGACCCAAACCCACGCTGTCTCACTCTCTCTCTCTCTCTCTCTCTCTCTCTCACACACACCCACTGATTACAGTTATTTATTATTGATTAACACCTTCACTTATTGAACATGCGAAACAGGTCCGTCGCTGTTCTCACCTCCATTATAGCAGCTCTAAACGCTCGTTCCTCCACCAGTCACTCGGTTTGTTCTTTCTAGGAATGAATAAGTCGAACGTCACGTTACCGATGGAAATAAATAAATATATAAATAAATCAAATGAATCCGTCCTGCCGCTTTTTCCGTGTCGGAAATGTAAACGCTTTAGTCCTGACTGCGCTTGAGTTCTGAAGTCCTGAAACGAGAACCTCACCATGTCGGTGGTTTATCGAGTCCGCTTCGACTGAACGCACATCGTCATGACGACGACGCAGTTGCAACAAAACACGGCGAACTCTTGCGAATATCATGGAGGTTTTTTTTCGTTCGTTTCTGCGACCGCGGAAGAGTTCGCCGTTTCGCAGGCCGTCGGTGCGGAGTTTATATTTCAGCTCCTCGACTGCTGCCAATTAATAAGTACATAAATAAAGAAATAGAAACAAGTGTGTACTTGCAAGAGCTGCTCTTCTCGTCGCCTTGGAGACCGAGTGATGGTCTCGTCGAAGTCCAACACATTCGTGGAATATTTTCGTCCTTTTGTTTAAATCGATTGTTGTTGTTTTTTTGTTGTTTTTTTTTTAACCTTTAGCCTTTTCCTGTTCATTTGAAACCTCGAGCACAATTAATAACGCACACTAATTCTTTTTCGGTTTGGTTTTCTCCTAATCCTGACATCAGTTTCTCTTTTTCCTTTCAACTCTTTAAACTGTTCTCTCACTAATTCAGCAGCTGTCGCGACTGACGCACACGCAAACATGAACTTACTTTAACCCACTGAGTGATGCAAATAAATCACCAAACGAGTCGGTTTTGTCCGAACGCTTCTCATAATCCAAACTCACCCTTTAGCTCCTCGTTAGATTCAGACTTGGGTTTAGTTTTCATGATTCATGTCCTTGGTTTCTTTTTTTTTTGGATGAAAACGTTTTCATGTTTTTAATGTACGATACACACACGGCTTCAAAGGAATAAGTTTTTATGATTATTATTATTATTATTATTATTATTAACTCAACATTTTGGGTGTTTTTGTGCCTCCAACTAAATTATGTTCCCCTTTTATTTATTTTTTTGCAAAGTTCTTTAAAACAAGCTTCCGCTGTATTTTTGTCGCGGCGCTGCGTTTAATATTCAGACGAAGAAAGAGGATTTCCTCACTGACTGGAGTTAAGGAATCAGGACACGAGGAGTTTCCGGCACGGCCGTATCATATTTCATATTATCTGATACAAATATCTGGTTTTATACATTTCTCCACACTGGGCCTCATTTATCAGACCGCATACGAACGAATTTATTCGCCGGAACATTTACGTATGTAAATCTACATATAAACAGAATCGTGTACGGAACCTCAAATGTTTTGATTTAGTATCTCACTATTTTTGACCTTTATGAGATACTGCGTGAACACGCATCAAAATAGAGAGAGAATAATACAAAATAATAATAAGACACTGACTCGAACTAGAGATACGAAGTCGGGTCGACGAGATGATGAGTCAAAATAACGAGATACTGAATCGAGACATGAGCTGCAGAGTCAAAATAACGATATGAAATAGGGAGATTTTTCCTAGCATTATTCCCACACTATACCAGGGTTTTCTTCAGCAGATCGTTGGTCTGCACGTTTGACTTGGCACAGGTCGTACCCCAGATGCCCGTCCCGATGCCACCCCCCAGGTCTGAGACCGGGTCTGAGTCCACGCCCCGGCCTGGGAATCCAACCCAGGCTGCCACGGTGAGAGCGTGGGATCCTTAACCGCTGGACCACCAGAGAACATCAAAATAATAAGATACCGAGTCAAAATGAAGAAATAAGTCAAAATCACGAGATACAGAGGAACGGCCGTGTCCATGCGTTGGTCGAGATGTTGAGATTAAGTCATGACGACGGCGTGGTGCGTCAGAACTGATTAAAGCAGTTTATGAAACGTTTCTGCGTCGTGTAGTTCAGTTCCGCGCTCGCGGTCCTCGGCTGCTCGTCTTCAGAGCGTTACGATTGGCGACGAGTTCCTGGGATTGAAGATCTCCAGCTCGGTCACCGTTTACTCGTCGTTTGGTCTTCAGCTTGCTGTGAGCTTTGGCTTTTGTGGACTTTTGGAGCTCACTGAAACTTTTGTAAATCTGACAGGAATGTTTTCGCACGACTTTACTAACGGATCGATGAATGAGGCCCAGCGATCCATCTGCCGTAGATCGTCTCGATCAGGAGACGTTCAGCTTAAAATCGTTCTTAAAAGAGTTGTGTTTTGTTTTTGTTTTCTCTCTAAATGGCGTCTCCGTCGCGTGCTTTAAACTGAAACGCAGAGTTTCAAATTATGACTGGACCATAAAGTGCCTTTAGTTTCATAAGATCCGTGTGCTATACACAGACCTCTGAAAGGGAAACGCTGCCTTTTAATCTGCTTTTATTAATCATCAGATGATCACGAAATCAAAAACATTCCTCTCTGGACTGCAAGCTGTAGTGCTTCTGCCCGCGTGGCACTCAGGGGGTTAAAGACAAACTACTTCTACCAAATCGTCGAGGTATTTCTTAAAAAAAAAACCTGAGCTGAATAATCTACTGGAGCTTTTACTTTGGTTTCGTTTTTTTAATGCATCATTTTTGTTTTGTTTTGTTTTCTCTCACCATTTGTATGTTGTTTGAAGTCCGAGCGTGGAAAGCGATAAAGGTGAACTGAATCGCTGATTTATTATTGTTGGGGCATCGAAGACGTGGTGTGTAATGACGTTTTTAAATCTTTGTTGTTGCCTTGTTTTTATTATATATATATATAAATATATAGAAGAAAATGAGGGTAGGAAAAAAGAAAGCAATGTAAAGTGATGTGTTGCTCGTGTTGGCGGGAAAAAGAAAACTGTGATGTGTGCAATAAAGTGTTAAAACTGGAGTCTGTGGTGGCTGTATTTGGAGTTCACACTGAAATCTGGAATACTTCCGTCATCCGGTTTACCGCAGCGTCTGTTCCATCCATCCGTCCATCCATCCGTCCGTCTGTTCCATCCATCCGTCCATCCGTCCGTCTGTTCCATCCATCCGTCCGTCTGTTCCATCCATCCGTCCATCCATCCGTCCGTCTGTTCCATCCATCCGTCCATCCATCCGTCCGTCTGTTCCATCCATCCGTCCGTCTGTTCCATCCATCCGTCCGTCTGTTCCATCCATCCGTCCGTCTGTTCCATCCATCCGTCCATCCATCCGTCCGTCTGTTCCATCCATCCGTCCGTCTGTTCCATCCATCCGTCCATCCATCCGTCCGTCTGTTCCATCCGTCCGTCCGTCTGTTCCATCCATCCGTCCGTCTGTTCCATCCATCCGTCCGTCTGTTCCATCCATCCGTCCGTCTGTTCCATCCATCCGTCCATCCATCCGTCCGTCTGTTCCATCCATCCGTCCGTCTGTTCCATCCATCCGTCCATCCGTCCGTCTGTTCCATCCATCCGTCCATCCATCCGTCCATCTGTTCCATCCATCCGTCCATCCGTCCGTCTGTTCCATCCATCCGTCCATCCATCCGTCCGTCTGTTCCATCCATCCGTCCGTCTGTTCCATCCATCCGTCCATCCGTCCGTCTGTTCCATCCATCCGTCCATCCATCCGTCCGTCTGTTCCATCCATCCGTCCGTCTGTTCCGTCCATCCGTCCGTCTGTTCCATCCGTCCGTCCGTCTGTTCCATCGGAAAGAAATAACGCTCCTGTTCCTGATTGATTCGACTTTCCACCTACAGAGCACGTGACCGGGGGGAGCGAGTATGCCCCGCCTACCCGGCCGATCTTCACTAAACACCTCAAATGTGCAATAACAATTCACACCGATCATCCTGTTCAAAAGTTTACACCCCCTGGCCCTTAATGTACCGTGTCACCTTCTTGAGCATCAGTGAACGTTTGCACCTTTTGTAATAGTCGTGTACGGGTCCATGAAAAGACGGATCTGGACGTCACATAGACGCTGTTGGAAATGGGTGAAACGTGTAGAAGATACTGGAAAAGTAAAGACTGTGCAGGACCTGGAGGATTTTCTCTGAAGAACAGCGGGCAGCGGGACTCGTGAAGAACTCTCAGAACACAAACACACTCGCTGATCCTCCAGGTAACGAAAGGTTGGGCTTTACAGGAGGAGTCTGATCCTCCAGGTAACGACACACGGGATTAAGAGTCCGTATGCGTGTGTGTAAATTCAGTTATTATTGTGTCTTGTGGACTATAAATGTAAACATGTGTTAAGTGAAATAGTTTATTCAGGGCAGCACTAAATAAAAATAACAGCCATTTTTAATTACTCGTGCAGATTCTGCCTGGCGTGTGTAAACGTATGACCTCATCCGTAGGTGACTTAATAAATAAATAAAATGACTTCATCCGCCCATTTGAAAGTTCACGTTTTAGAACGTTTAAACGTGGAGAAAAGGTCTTCTTTTATGTGAGCTGCTTAATTATCATCTTCTCCAATCTGTTCGTGAAGTTCTGTCTCAGTGGCTCTTGACACACTTTCCTCTCAAAGTAAAAACACCAAGAACGCGTCTCTGATAAACCGGTTGAGCTCATACACTTCGCTTCATTTTTAATATGAAAAAAACTACAACGATAAAACACATGCCCTGTCCAGGGTGTACCCCGCCTCGTGCCCGATGCTCCCTGGGATAGGCTCCAGGTTCCCCGTGACCCTGAAGGAAGGATAAGTGATAGAAGATGGATGGATGGATGGATGGATGGATACAACACATGGAGAATAATTCCCTGTTCCTAGTCACCCAGGTGTACTAAACAACGTGTAAAATATCAGTGGGAATTTACTTCAAATACATTTTTCTCACATGAATTCATAGGGGTGCCAATAATTGTTGCATAAATGTTCATTGACATTACATTTATGAATATTTATGTCAAATGAAATGTGTCCTTTAGAACAAACTCTATGTATCTTTCAGACTTTAAGCTTAAATAACACGAAATATAACCTCTACAGCATGTTCACGTGGCCCCGCCCACTATCACAACACATTTAAATATAGTCATTAAAATACTTCAGAAACAGCATCATCTAAACATTAGATGATACTCAAACCTGAACACTTTCACCCCAAGAAACACTTCCAACATCCCACAAGGCTCACGTCACATGTTCAACAGGAAGTTGCAGCCGATTGTGGGAAGAAGAAAAGTAAGTTCTCTCGTTGTTGTTGTTGTTGTTGTTGTTGTTGTTGTTGTTTACACACACACAGTATAGATCGAAGGGAAATGAATGTAATGAAACCTGAGATGGAGAGACGTTACTGAACACTTTCCCAGAGTCGCAGCTGAAAAACACAGTCGCTGGAAAACATCTTTCAATTATTTGAACTTTTTACTGCAGAAATGAACGTCATAATCACAACACCCCAAATATCTCTAATACACAAACGTATCTATTATTGGAAGATTACAACAAACCCAATATATGATTAATAAACCAGTTTCTAGACGTTTTTACTCGTTTCAGGCCTGAAATATTCTCCTGGCTGATACTTCTCCTCATTTTGAACACTTTTATTCCTAGAAGCTAAATTATCTGCAGAATAGAACAAGAATAAGATACAAATAATCTTATATTTAATTCATAACTATATAATAATCCCAAAATAAGAAACAACGTAAATTCACACGTGTTCCAAATCTTTTTACTTTCACAGACGAAAATGTCCAGAATCAAAACCAGACATAATTCTTAATACTTTCTTCACTTGTTTCATCAAATAAAACGAGCAGAAGTGTTACATCTCTCTCTCTCTCTCTCTATCTCTTTCTCTGTCTCTCTGTCTCTCTCTCTCTGTCTCTCTCTCTCTATCTCTCTCTCTCTCTCTCTCTCTCTATCTCTCTCTCTCTATCTCTCTCTCTGTCTCTCTCTCTGTCTCTCTCTTCTCTCTCTCTCTCTCTCTCTCTGTCTCTCTCTCTGTCTCTCTCTCTGTCTCTCTCTCTATCTCTCTCTCTCTCTCTCTCTCTGTCTCTCTCTCTCTCTCTCTCTCTCTCTCTCTCTCTCTCTCTCTCTCTCTCTCTCTCTCTCTCTCTTTCTGTATGTCACCAACGTAATGTCTGTACACACTTTTATTAAATGTCCTCACATTCCATAGTCTAGGTCATGTGTTTCACGTATGTACGTGTCTAACTTCTAAGTCTTGCTGATCTGACATAACGCCGCAGTGAAAAAGCAGGACGGGAGGCAGCCAGTACCTCTGCCTCACTGAAGGGGGCGTGTGTGAGCATACAGGCTTGTTCTGCTATTGTTCTTCTTCACGTATTACAGACAAATGGCATTGTGGGTAATACGCTAGCTAAAAAAGTCAAGTAGATTAAGTCAAGTGCACCGCATCACACGGAGGCTGCAGAGCAAATGCTCTCTGAGCCGCTAAAACTTGAACCTTCTTCTTTGGCCAAATATGTGTGTGTGAAGAATGCTGATATGGGATATGAAACCTCACCAGGTGTCAGTGTGGAAGCAGCCAGCTGAAGGGTGAATTACTCTGTTGAATTCGTATATTTGTCAATCTGACTTCGAAAGAGTCAGTGCCTCTGCTGACACGAACCTCACCGCACGTCACTGAACCACATCCAGGTGTCCACAGCCTTGTGCCTCGAGTTCCCTGGGGTAGGCTCCTCCGTGACCCTCCGTGACCCTGTGTAGGATAAGCAGTATGGAAGATGGATGGATGGATGGATGGATGGATGGGCTAATGATATCAGATAAGCATGTGCATTAACAAAAGGTTCAGATGATTCCTGAAGGAGTGTGCATG